TGGGGGTGGAGTGGGGAATGGGATCAAAAACGGGGGGGTGGGTGGGGAGGGATATGCTCGGGACTATGGTGATGGTACAGGGGTGACTTCATGATAGGAAATCCATGGGGATTATAATTGAGATGAAAAAAAAAATGTTCAAAATGATGTAAAAACAAACTGTTAAAAAAAAAAAGGTGTGGCACATATACACAATGGAATATTACTCAGCAACCAAAAGAAAAGAAACACATGCCTTTTGCAGCAACATGGATGGAGCTGGAAAAGATCATGCTTAGCGAAATAAGCCAGAAACAAAAGGAATAATACCAAATGGTTTCACTCATAGCAGGAGTATAACAGACCAGGTGAGAAAATAATAATAATAATGATGACGATGATTGATGATGATGATGATGATGATGAACAGTTATATACCGGAGAAAATTTTGGGGGGTGGAGTAGGGAATGGGATCAAAAACAGTGGGGGGGAAGGAAATGCACTGGACTTTGGTGATGGCACATGGGTGATTTGGTGATGGGAATGCCAAGGGGATTACAACTGAAATGGAAAAATGCACAAAATTATGTGTATTAAAAAAAAAAAGTAATACTCATAGAGCAGAATAGTGTTTACAAGCAAAAACCATGAGAAGTGACAAAAAAAATTCAGTAGTATGGTTGGAAGGTAAGACTGAGAAAATCAGCCAGAAAATAGAACAAGACCGTAAGATGGGCAATAAGATAGAAAATGTAGAAACAAAGCTAAATACGGGTAACATGACAGAAAGAGAAAATAAATAGCTTATTTAGGGCCCTTCCTGTTGGTGCAGCAGGTTAAAGTGCAGCAAGCGAGCCTCACACACTTCAGTGTGAGTTTGATCCCCTACCCTGGAGGTGATCCACATGACGCAGCAGACCTCTCCTGATCCACCCACTGCCCACTATCAGCAATGTACTTTGTCAATCTGCCTGCTCTGCTCCCTACTCTGTCTCTGGTGGATCCTCTCACTGCCCCTGCACCTATCGCCTGTAGACCAGTTCTGTATGCATAAATAAAGCTTAAAAAAAAAAAAAAGAGAGAGGGCCCTCCCTGGTGGCGCAGTGGGTTAAAGCATGGCACTGAGAATCTAAAGCCGCTTCCGCATGAGTTCGATTCCCGCCTGCCCCCGAGGTGACCACATGGCGCGGCAGACCTCTCCTGACCCGCCCGTTGCTCCCCTCAGCAGTGTACTACGTTGATCTGCCTGTTCTGCTCCCCACTCTGTCTCTGGTGAAGCCTCTCACTGCCCCTGAGCCTCTGGCCTGTACCCCAGTTCTGTATGCACAAATAAATAAATCTTTAAAAAAAAAGAGAGATAGTTTTAAAAAAAAATTTCTGGAACTAAAGACTGTCAATCACATATATAATGAGTAATCTAGAATGGTATTTCTAAATACCAGGTTAAAGGGAAGATCACTAATCCTAGCAGAATTTAAATATAAAAGAAACAAAAATTACATACAAAGGATGGAGGATAAGAATATCATTTAACTTTTGAAAACAACACTAAACCATAGAGGAGAAGGTTTCTAATATCCCTGAGAAAGGCTCTCTAACCTGAGATGAAATGTGTCACCAGATGGTCAAGAACAGCACATGGAAGGATCTTTTAGACATTGCTGCCCAGACCCTTTTCCTGAGGGCTTTAATGGGGGGGACGGAAGGAGGTGGGGTTGTGTTCTGCCAATGGAGGGACAAAACAATAAAGAGAATAAAGAGAAAAAGCTGTGAAAGGAGGCCCAGGGTAGTCTAGAGTCTAGACTCAGGGTGGAAAAAAAGATACCATTATTAATACTATTTAACATTTTAAACCTTGTACGTGTATTGCTTTGATAAAATAAAATTAGTGTTAAAATGGGAACTCAAGAAAAAGGTAAATATTCACTAACCTTTTGCTTCAGTTCATGTGTATCACTAGAAATGAATTCAATCATATGTGGCATCTCAATAGACATGCTCAAAGAGAAGCTATTAAAAATGAAAAGGAAGTTGTCTTAGTCTATTATTTTAAATTTTAAACAACTACTTGTAGCTGTTTCATATCTAAATACCAATTAAGTTATTGACTTTAATATTATTTACATTTCCCATACTAACCTTTGCTCTGTTCCTATTTCCTTTATATAAATCTTCTCTACTGTATCCTGTTAAAAGAGAAATATATACAGTAATTAAGTATCCACTAGGTTTCACATGGAGACTATAGGCTGAATGTAATTCCACCAAGGTCAGTGCCCACAGGAGCAATGAGACAACTGGGTTCAGCTTAGAGTAGTGCGATATAGAGCTTTTGTTTGTGAAATGACAGTAATAGATAAACTGTGTATATACGTATGCATACACAAATATACACATATGACAGACATACCATTTGAATAAATATGCACAATGTAGAAAGACTCAAAGAATATACATGCAATAACTTTGGGTTCCTATATATAGTCATGGAATTAAGGATTGTTTCAATTTTCCTCTTACTTACTTGAATTCTTTACCTTTATGTACATCCCGCATGATGATTATGCAGTACAGACACAATTTTGAAAAATGAAACATTTAAAGTGTCAAACAGAATAAAGAGTACCCACTGAACTTACCTGTCATCACACAAGCATTATTGAAGTAAATGGCAGTAGCTAAACTTGATGCTCATGAAATAAGATAATTTAAGACAGCTTCTCTTCCCTATGCATAAATCAAAGGGGCTTATCACACACACAAAACACTTCTTTAAATCTTATCCTGAACATACAAACCTGAAGGTTTTCATTCAAAGCTTTATCCTGTTGCCAGGGTGCTACAGTGGCTGGCATGAAGAAGACGGTGACAGGGCCTCGCATGCTGAGTTCCGTGATGTAGGTGATTTTGATAAGAACCCTCGCCTTAGGAGGTAAGTTTCCAACACTCACAGTAAAAATGTCCTGCAAGAAACATATTACTTAGCTCTTCATTCAAAAGCATATACATCCTATGGTAGTTGTTCTCTCTTGTAACATAAACCATTTGAAACACATTCTGTCAGCCATTCCCATTTGGTGGGCATGAGGTCACGAGCAGCAGAATCCTATTATGGGGGAATGTCATTATGGCCTCTCCCCACCAGAAGCCGGGGCTCTGCCACCAGGACAGCCACCACACGGTCCCCTTGGGAAGACCTTGAGGTCTTTCTGACCTCCGTAGCACCTCTGTGCAGCTAGTGCACATTCCACTAAGTTTAGCTTTGCACTTTACAGTAGATTTAGCATTTTGTTTTCAAAAAAATATTTTGTTTCTTTTAATGAGGTATTGAGGATTGTGTAAGAAGATCTTAAAGACATTAAAGGCAAGAAAAAAGAGGTAGAGACTGGATGTTAAGTTTTCTTTTTTTAAAAGACTTGTTTATTTATGCATACAAGAACCCTGAGGTACAGGCCAGAGGTGCGGGGGGAGGGGGTGAGAGGAATCACCAGAGACAGAATAGGGAGCATAACAGGCAGATGTACTGAAATACACTGCTGAGGGGAGCAGTAGGCAGGTCAGAAGAGGTCTGCTGTGCTATGTGGGTCACTTCCATGGCCAGGGATGGAACTTGACCTGCAGTTGGCTTCAGATAGTTTTACAGTGCTGTGCTTTAATCTGTTGTGCCACTAGGGAGGGCCCTGGATGTTGTTGTTCTTAATACACAGAAATTCTCTTAACATTTCCAATCACATCAGCCATTCTACTTAACCAGGCTGCTATGAAAATTTAATACATTCAGATTAGGAGTGCAGAGTACTAATGATAAAAATAGACATAAGGGGTAAATGATTGCTCTTGATGTCAAAAATAACTATTTGCAGGATGTGAATAAACAACAGAGATAATTATTAAACAGTTAACAATTTTTCCCTTAAAGTGTATAAAAGGTTCATTTAAGAGACTGCCATTTAATGGGATAGAGATGCATCCTGTTTCTGTGTTGAAAGTAGACAGATACATGTTACTTCCACTACAGCAAACTGGATAATCTACAAAATTATAATTATTATTTGACTTGACCTAGAAAGAAAGCTGTGTTGTAAGGCAGCCAAGAGAACTGAATTCTAAGACAGCCCTTCTGAGGACAAACAGGATAAGGGAAATGACAGATTCCTACAGCTAAGAGTGAGCTAACACTTCAGATCAGAAAGCAGGGTCCCCGACACAGGGAGGTTTGCATTCACAAAGGATCTTTTCTCCAGATGCTGGGTACTATCTAGAGCCTGGGTTTTGGCAGTAATATTTTCTTTTTATTTTCCCATTAACTCTTTAAACTTTCCTGTTATTTATCTGCTTAAATATTGGGTGTATAAGATCTACCTCCATCTTTATAAATATTAATTAACAGTTACTGGACAGATATGACTGGTTGCCATGGCAGCCAGAGGCAATGGCACCAACCTCTCCTGGGGGAAGAAAGGAAAAGTGTTACTTTTTTCTTAAATGCAGGGATGCTTAAGCTCAGATTTTAAAAAAAGAACTTTTTAATAAACCAGGCAAGCAAATGAACTTAGAGTATCCCAACTAGCACAGAGAGTACTGTCTTGGGAAACTATACATGGTTTAGGCTTATTGGAATATAAAATGAGAGAAAGAATAGTATGATGAGATTGAAAAAACAGCCCTGCCAGGTCTTAGAGGGTCCTCCACACCTTATTAAAATATGAGCTCAGGGCATAATGATAGACCCTCAATTAAAGTAGTGGTTATAGGAAAGGTGATGACATGGGCAGATTCCACTGACAGATAGTAGAAAACTTTTTTTTAAAAGATTTATTTATTTGTGCACACAGAACTGGGATACAGGCCAGAGGCTCAGGGGTGGCGAGAGGCTTCACCAGAGACAGAGTGGGGAGCAGAACAGGCAGATCGACAAAGTACACTGCTGAGGGGAGCAGCGGGGGGGTCAGGAGAGGTCTGCCACACCAAGTGGTCACCTCTGGGGCAGGTGGGAATCGAACTCATGCGGAAGTGGCTTTAGCTTCTTAGTGCTTGCTTTAACCCGTTGCGCCACCGGGGGGGGGGGGGGGGCCGATAGCAGAAAACTTTAACAGACCATCAACAGGATATGAGCAACAGAGGAGAGGGAAAGGAAATGAAGGATGCCTCCCATATTTGCTACCTGGCGACTAAGTAAATGTGAAAACCACTATTGAGATAACAGGAGGAAGAAGCAATTTGTAGGGGAAGGGAATGAGGTAAAGTTTAGACTTACTACCCAATAAGTATGTGTGCTTTATTTTTTGTAGTTATGCTTTAAATTATTATTTAAATGAATACTTCACCTTATTCCTTTTAACCTGCCTCCAAAATGTATTAAAACTTAGTTTATATACACATAGTCAGGTGAACAAACATAAATTTGATTCTATTATTTTAGGCAAAAACTATTACCCTCAGAAAATAGAACACCACTATTGTGTTTTAACCTAAGCAATCTTAGAGAAAAGGCTACATAATTTTAAATTAGATGTAAGTTTTCTTAGTGTATTAGGATGGTTTTCCTTGGAATCTTGTTTTCATCCAACACTTCAAGGTGAGTGTTCCAAGATTCATCCTTAGATAATCTTGCAATGGGGTGTGGTGGGGGTCTCAGTGGGAGTATTTTGGTGATCTGATTGAGTAGTAAAAAGGTAAGTCTCCTACTAAAGAAAGTGGCTGGGTAGTTGAAGAAGAAGCAGAGATTTGAGGGTACATAGGTCAAGAAGAAATGCATATAGAGAGGGAGATATTGCAAGTATAGGTGAGAGTAAATAATTGGTGGATCAAGTCCTAGAAAAATTCATTCATAATCAGAAAAAGTATACAAGAGAGGGGGTTAGCATTAAAATAATCAGGGAGGAAGGAACAGATAAAGCTGAAGATTTACCTTCTGAACTGGAGCAAAGAAGGCTAAAGGAATTTGTAAATTCCTTGATAGATAAAGCTGCTAGTTTAAGGAAAAAGGTAAAGGATTAGAGAGCTGTTGCTGAAAATGGAGCAAAGAAATAAATTGGAGAGAAGAGAGCTTTGAACAAACAATGTGTGAGCACTAGCAAGTGGTGTGAGAGTACATCTGTTATTTTCCACTATAAGACATGCTTCCTCTGATGTTATACCATTTTTCAATATAAAGAGGTTTTAATCTTAACAAATCTCTGTGCAACATTTGAATTACAAATTACTGTTATTTCAATCCCTTTGATGTCTAAAGTCAGTCTGCTAGTCTTCTGATAGTTGGGAACATTTTATACATACACACATATCATGCATGTGGATATATTAACAAAATAATATTCTACTGATAACACGAATATTACACATATTATATTACATATGTTGTGTTTATGTATATATATGTATGTTTATATATATATCCTACATTTGAGTATAATGTTACTAACTACCAGAAGACTAAGAAATACATATCTATAATGATGTAATATATTATAGTGTGAGAACATTACAGTCACTGGATGGCAAAAAACATTCTGAGAGACCCAAAGGCTTCTATTAACAACAGTTCTCACCAGACTTTACTCATAAGTAATAACCTTTGTGAAGACTGTTTTCCTGTGGATCATATTTCTAGGAAAATATGGTAGAATCAAGGAGGAAACATGAAGACCAATTCAATTATGACAATAATCATTAACTGCCACTCAGTTAAATGGCAGTCTGTCAAATGAATCCTGGGCCTTCATATATACACTCTGTCTGGCCAGGGGATAGCATTAGAACTATCCTATAATCTCCTCTTCCTTGCTTATTCCCATTCTGCAAAAGGATATCTTAGGATATCTTAGATGTCTGTTGCATGAACAACACCACACTGTCAAAGAAATGGTAGCCATGGAGCAGGCTGTACAATGCAGGATGCTGCTGATAGAGCAAGATCCTGGCCTTTTTACTGATAGAATAATCATACAGCATCAATTATGTGGGGGTAGGAGAATAAAGAAAAAGAGTGGGTGAAACTGAAATTGTGCTTATGTCATCTAGGGCTTCAGGTGAGTCTGCTGACCAAGTTTTTTTTATCTGCTTGATGACCCATATTGCAACGGAAACCATACCCCACATCCCCACCCATGTTTCAAGGCATTCAGCTGATCAGGCTCTGGGAGGCAAAGCCATGCAACCCCATATCCCCCCAGTTCCCAGTCATGTCTCATGTTGTATACCCACTACCCCAGGGCATTCAAGCATCCTGCTCTTGTTTAATTTGAAATGAGCCTTGTAGGGTCTAGTATATTACAATCAGTCTGATAACTGATCGATCAGGTTGTTCTGACCTTCTATTGGAATGTAGACTATATATAACCAAAATGGCGGCCCGAGTAGGCCATATAAGTCTAGCAGACCCACAGATGTCAAAAATAATAATTTATCCTTCATATCTATAGAAAAATTATTTTAAAATTCCCTCTCTAAACATCAAGGCTTCACAATCCAATCACCATGTGTCATCATTAGAGGATTAGCTGAAGCATACAGTCCTGTCTTTAAAAAACATATATCTCTACTTGAGATACTAGTTAGAAACTGCAATCTAGGATCTGCCAAAGGTACGTTGAGAACATCTTATATTTTAGAAAAGAAACCCAGTGGACATGGTAGCTGTTCCTTATTCCAGATTCTCCATATTCCCTTTTTTTTTTTTAAAGATTTATTTATTCATGCATACAGGCTGGGGTACAGGCCAGAGGTACAGGGGCAGTGAGAGGATTCATCAGAGACAGAGTGAGAAGCAGAACAGGTGGACTTATGAAATACGCTGCTGAGGGGAGCAGTGGGTCAGGAGAGGTTTGCCACGCCATGTGGGTCACCTCTGGGTTTAGGGATTGAACTTATGTTGAAGTGGCTTTAGCTTTTTAGTGCTGTGCTTTAACCTGCTGCACCACCAGGGAGGGCCCATATTCCATTTTTATTAAAACAAAGGAATCTAAATCTATCTTAGGACACTGCAGAAATACCTCCCTGGGTTACAATTTGGTAAATTTGCTAGGAAACTTAGTTCTAGGGGAAGTGCAAGTATATTACACTTTTATATCAAATGAAAATTATGTGCCCCAAATGCTTCTTTCTATTTTAAATTCTTAAAAACTCATTTTCTGATGACAGAAAGAGCTCTCCTTATTTGTTTGGTAATACTGACCTACTTCCAACTTGATTTAAATAAGCTAGGTAAGTCTGGTCAGCTTGACATCCTTTGGCTAATAGCAAGCAAAACTCAAGGACTTGAAATAGCATAAATTATCCTAGCTTTTCTAGTAAGTACTTCATTTTTCAAATCATTTCCAACTCTTTTTCCCTTTCTAGTAAGCAAGGATGAAAACCACATCCTACCGGTGCATCCTGATCCATCAAGTATGCACCATGGCCTTGACTGATGGCTTCTCGGTATTCTCTCCGGGCTTCCTCCTTCTCTTTAATCTAGAAAAGATGATTTTTATACCAGTCATAATATGACTTCAGACATTAATAAGGAAAATTTCCTCAATGTTTATTAAAAGCTTGATAAAAATAAAAAACTAAGACTTTCTCTAAAATAAATGGAAACATAATTGTTGATTATATGACAATTAGATAAGTCATCTAGTAGAATTTGAATCAGAGAAGGCCAACTAAAGAGAATTATTGTTAAGTGGGACCAAACTATTTTGGAGTCAATAGTGAAAAAAACGTCTGGGACTTTATACAGAGCAAAAATAATTACAGATTATTTTACCTTATAATGTACATGAGATGCTATATGTACATGTACATGAGATGTACATGAGATGTTATATGTACGTGAGATGTTACATGTAATATCTAAACCTTAGAATAAACAGAGAATAAGCTAAATGTTTCTTTTGTTATTATAATTTTTCTTAAAAAGTTAGAGTAATTTCAGTCTTCTTCTGTAACAGGTTGCAGAGGATCAGTTTTTGCAAAAACATATAAGGGTTTCACCAATTTTCCAGGCTGCTTCTCTTACACTTTTGATATTAAATTTACTCATTTTTGACTGACGAAGAAGACATGGCAAGCAGGGACAGAAACAAGTTCATCAGGGCATAATGGCTGAAAGGATAATTTTATAAGTGCTTGGGCATGTTAGTTGTGTGAAATGACTACGTTTGTTTTGTGAAAAGGCCGCAACTCAGATAATAAGTTTGGGTAAATAGGAAACTGACTTTGAAACCAAAGAGCAATCACTATGCATTTTTCCTCTTACCTCCCCTACTACATGCTTCCCATTGATGAATGCTTCAAAACCACACACAGCTGCCTTGTCATCCAAAGGAAAAATGTATTTTGCTTCAATGGGCATGTGACTGTGATTTGTGTATGTCTGAAAAACAATGACCTAGAGAAAAAAAAATTCCATATAATAATGAAACATATGGGACAACATTTATAGGAACAACTATTAATAAAAACAATTATATTTTCTTAAAATTTTTATCATGAGCATTTACCACTGCAATGTATTGTACTTGTCACATGATAAATTGCACAGGTGGTATTTAGGTAGTTCACACATGCCTAGCTGGAACAATTTAAGAATTACAAATACTATTTTTTTAAAAAGATTTATTTATTTGGGGTACAGGCCAGAGATGCAGGAGCGGTGAGAAGATTCACCAGAGACAGAGTGGGGAGCAGAACAGGCCAAGTGATGAAGTACACTGCTGAGGGGAGCAGCGGGCGGGTCAGGAGGGGTCTGCGGTGCCATCTGGTCACCTCGGAGGCAGGCGGGGATCGAACTCATGCTGAAGTGGCTTTAGCTTCTTAGTGCTGTGCTTTAGTCTGCAGCGCCACCAGGGAGGGCCACAAATACTACCTTAACAGAACTAATGAACCTTTCATTTAAAAGGCAGAAATCAGACATCTTTATGTGTGGGCCTTGATGCTCCTTGGTATCATGTGGACACTGATGCCATTTGAAAATAATTCTTATAGCAATCTGTTAGCAGGTCTTAGCCTCTTTGCACATAGCCCTCTGGTAGCTTTTCTCATCTAGCCTCTTCTCTTCCATCTAGTCCACTTTTGAATCAAGCTTTTCTATTTCTGCCTGTTATCTCTGTTGTCAGTGGATTAATTTTTCTAAACAAACTGTTCATTATGTATCACTTGCTCAGGAAAATGCTGGGGTCTTTAAGAATTTGAAAAAAGAAAACTTTAGACATATAATAAACAATAAAAACATAAACATGGCAACAAAAAAGCGAAAATATTTAACCATTTGTAATCAGTAACATTTGAGAAAAGACTAAAATGAAAAATAAACAGGTAATATTCCAAAATTCTATTCACAATTGGGATTATTGTATGTTGGGTAGCCCCTAGAGTGTGAGGGACATAAGGCAAGATTTCTGAGAGGCATCTGTATATATAAACAATTTAAGTCTCTCAAAGCAGTAGGCTAGCATCCTTCCCAGGACTAGCCTACAAATGAAGACCTCACTGGTCTGTGGGGGCAACTGGTGACCAGGCAGCTCCTCTGGCACTGGGGGCTGGCAAAAGCACAGATGATCCCACAGATTTGAGTCCAGAGTTTCCTTGGGTTTCTACGTGACCTGAGCAATAGGTCAGAGAATACCTGGTAGGGTGACTGGGAGGACACCACAAGCTTTCCATTGTGCATGAACTCCCTTTGTTCCTCTCTTGTGTATTCATTTTCACCAAACTCCTCAAAGGCACATATGTTCAAGCTTTAACAGACTAGGAGTACCAACTCCTTGCATCTTGGTTTAGGTTATTTTCAGTCTCCTATGTAGATGTCCTGCCTATGTCTACTTAGTGGCTTTTTCTTACCTGTGAGTTCTCAGAGGTGAAGTGGATGTCAGCTACCTTCACTTTGTATATGACATTTTATGACTGGTAATCTCACAAACTAAGTCACCAGAAAATGATGACAAAAGTATTTTTACTAGGACTGAGAACAACTAATACTGTACAAGTTTTTAACATCTTCATTTTCTTCTTTTACCTGACACCATTATACAACTCAACTAAAAATACTAAGCTCCTGCAAAAAGTCAAATGTGTAAGCCACAAACACACAGGTCTCTGCTGCTGGGCATCTGCTTGGATGTAAATTACAACTAGCTTACCACACATCTGTGGAAACTTTTAAGTCATGAGTTATTTTTTGAGTAGACATCCACATGAAAAACGTCTCACTAAGTGTGAAATATCAAATGGTTCAAGCTGTACAGTCCAAAGGAATATATTAGGATGTATGTTTTTCATGCCCAAACACTTGTTTTGCATCTTCTGTATATGGATGAGTCCCAGGTATCCCACATTCATTATATCTAATAGGTAGATTATTATCCTTAATATTGCACAGATACTATAATTTCCATTTTACACATAAGGAAACTTTCTTGAGTACAAAAAAATAATTCCCCTAAGGTGACAGCACTGGAAAAGAGTAGGTAAGGAAAAGAAGTTAAGCCTTTCAAACTTCAAATCCTTTACCTTATAAAATCATACCAGATCACACAGTGGTTAAAAGCCTAGATTCTAGAATCAGAATGGTCTGAGTTCAAACTTGTGTTTTATCATAGTTTAAATGCCTCTGAACCTTGGTGTCCCCATCTAAACAACTGGCATAATTGCAATGCTTGCTCAGTTTGTTAGAGAATTATATATGACAAATGAAAAATTCAACTTGAGGTTTAAGAAACCTCAAGAAACGGTAACCATAAGAAACGGTAACCATTACAGCATTTAAATGGCTAACAAGAGATGAACACTTTCCACAAGTCCACATCTGGGCCTTCCCCAGTTGTTAATCGTTTCCAGAGTTATTTTAGGGATGTAGGTATGTATGAGACTGGGCCCAGGGGATAGACTTATCCAAACTGGTATAAATGTCATGGATAGCATGTTCTTTCCTTCCCCTGCCTCATTTCCCAGTTTAAAATGATCACTCAAATAAACCTGATTCCTTTGACTTCATCTAATCCTTAGAATGGTTTCTCCATATTCCATGTATCAGTGACACCATCTGGTATTTTTCTTTCTCCCTTTGACTTATTTCACTAACATTATCCCTTTCAGTTTCATCCATGCTGCTGCAAAAGACATGGGTTTATCCTTTTTTGATTGCTAAGTGATATTCCACTGGCTTTCTTCTGGAGGGAAAGGCGCTACCATAATCCTGAACACATGTGTTCTTATTTTCCCAAGATGTCTTTATAGGTGTTCAACACAGTCTTTAGTTTTAAGAGCTAATGATGAGGCTAAATCTTAAAAGACAAATTCAATTTAAGAAAACTGAGAACACTCCAAGCTGGACCACCATATTTGACCATCTATTTGCTCAGGTGCCCATGAACTTTATCCCTGTCCTGTGATCATAGATGAATCAGCTGCAAGCCTACCCATAGACACCCACTATACCTAAAAATTAGCTGGCATCCATCTCTCCTACCTACAAGAAGATGGATTTCTAGCAAGTTTCCCTTTTCATGGATAATCAGTTTTTCTCTCCTGTACTGACTTACATACATGGTTTGATTTATAAGACTTTGAAAGAAAATGGAAAATACTCTGATCCAACTTCTCTACAGGTACTATCTCATTTTCTCTCCTGTCTGCAATTTCTTTTTTTCTTTTCTTCTGTCTCTATTGAACTTATGTTAGTTAAGCTTTCACCCCTACCATACCATGGACAAGGTGATTGCCCCATACTCTTTACATGTCTATGCTCAGATTTCGCTTTTTTATGTGATCTTACTTAGCCATCTTATCAAGAAGTTCAAACCCCTTCCTCTTATACAGCTCCTATCCCTCCCTGTTATCATTTTCCAGTTAGCACCAATAACCATCTAACATAGTCTATATTTTATTTATCATGTTTATTGCCTAGTCACCAAACACAATGCATCGTCTATGAGGGCAGAGTTTTCATATTGTTTATTGCTGTATACAGTACCTGGCCTGTAGTAGGTGTTCAAAGAATAAATATTTTAGAAATGCCTGTTCTGTTTAGTTTATGTATCTGTAGTCAAATTCTCACTTATGATTTATATCTATTCAGTTTAAGTACTATGAACCACAAAAAGCATACCTGGGCTACAAAGTCTATTATTTTCCCCTTGATGTGAACATCTTCAAGAGGAACCAAATTTCCAGAGGTATCCTGAAGGCCAGCCTTGATGTTGCTTTCAGGTTCGCTGTCTGGTAATTGATAATCTACATATTAAAAATATCAATGTTAGCTTTTATATTTTTAAAATATTTATTTATATATGCATACAGGAACTGGAATACAGGCTAGAGGTGCTGGGGGTGAGAGGATTCACCGGGCATAGTGGAGATCAACTGAAACACACTGCCGAGGGGAGTGGTGGGTGAGAGAAGTCTGCTGTGCTATGTGGGTCAGCTCCTTGGCTAGGGATCAAACTCACGTAGTGGCTGCAGACAGCTTCATAGCACTGCACTTTAACCGCTTGTGCCACCAGGGAGGCATCTTAATATTAGCTTTTGAACCTACCAATGCACGGTATATTTTTGTTACTATAATCCAAAGGAAGGAATAATTTCTTCCTTTTATGTTTTATTTTGGGAAAAAAGCATGTTACAGTTTTTAGTAGTCAACTATGAAAAGTAAGCAAACCCAAGTAAGTATGAACAGAGACTGTTTTTTTAATTGAAAAACTTGGGGTATCATCTTGAAATCCAAGAGTCATGCTGTTACTTGAAAGACATATTTTAATATATATTCAAGTACATTAAAGTCTTAAGAACATCTAAGTAAGTACAGCTTAAGCATGGATCTAGGTATCTGCATCTCCTGATTTTTCATTTTGAATTAATCAGTTCTTATTATATATTGTGCCACAAATACATTGTTTGAACAACATGAGGCTCACTAGACTTTCAATTCAAGAAAGACTAAGCCAAAATCCCAAAGTAGCATCTGGAAGAGTGTTCACATACTATACTGGGTGAGACAAATATACAGATATGGTTATAGACTTATATATAATCTCCTGCTATACATTTCATTCAATAATACCCAAAGGAAAAAAAGTCACCTTTTTGAACATAGATGAAATAATACATTTTTGATAAAAAAGAGCCCAATCATGGTTGAAATCATTAATGTATTTTTACAATGCTATTGACTCATATTATAGTGGTTTTTTCCTTATGATTTTCTGAGAAGCTATCATCCTCTCATATATTTATAACTACATTATTACAATTTTTGGACTTCCTTTACTTATTAAGACACTGGTCTCATCCCATCTGAGAAAAACTGAAACCTGGAAAAGTTATAAACATTTGTTTAAGATTGCAAAGCCTGGTAAGTGGCATTGACACATTAAACTTTCTGGTTCCATAGCTATGTCTACTGTTGATACTGCCAACTCCCATTTTATTTTCTGCACTTGACAACTTAAATGGTTCAGTGAGTTTTAGTATTGTATATCCTGAGGTTGGACAAGCTCAACTTAGGTACGTTAATGAAGTAATATGTAATTTTAAAATCATTTAACCTCACTTAAGCACCCTCATTTTTATTTTTACAGAATTTAAAAAAGCAAAATACATATGAGGCAAAAATACCTAGTATGAACATAAATTCCACTGAAAATATGTCTGAGTTGAATCAATATGACATAAGACAAAATTCAAGAAAATTGTCTTACCTTCAACCTTTGAAAAACTTGAAGACTCAGATTTGTATTCTTCTAATTCAGTATTATTACAAGGATGAAACGCCTTTATTTCATCTCCAGGTACACAAAATTTGACTATATATTTCATTTTAACCTGATTAGTTTTATAGACAACAAATTCATCATCCTAGAGAAACAGAAATTAATAGTTGGCAAAAAACCTCACTCTTTACAGGCAAATGTTTTCATAAAAGTAGAATTTAATGTTTACTAATTTAGAAAAGCACTGAATTCAGAAATGCATATACAGTGATTATTTAAACAACTCTATTTAATAAAAACAGGTGTCTCTGCCTGTTTCTTGATATTAATACCTCAAAGTCTGTGGTGATTGTGGCTGTTCCTCGAACCCCATGTACACTGTCATAACCTAGTGGTGCTTCTGTCAAGGAGAAATCTTTCTTGTGTAAGTCCATGCACTTCCCAAGGCTTACATCACAGATGACCAAGAGTCTACTGCCTTCTATCTCTCCTGGGTGTGAGTACTTAATACTTGCACTGCATGTGAAAGAAAATAAGCACATGTTTGTAATTTCGTTACATGGCAATATGATTTCATTACATATGTAGGAAATAGTGTATAAAAGATTTTGTGGATAGATTGTTCTGAAATTTGCGGTTACTGAAATATCTCTGAAAATTCAATTTAGAAATTTATTATTTGTTTACATATTTAAACATTTTATGTAACAACACTATACAGTTGACCCTTGAAAAGCACAGGAGTTATGGGTGATGACTCCCCATGCAGTTGAGGATCTCTATAAATGTTATACTATAGTACAGTTGTAGAGAGAGTTGTATATACTATAGCATAGTTACTATATAGTCTCTTGTCAAGAGTCTTGTTGATAACATAGTCAATTAACACACATTTTAAATATCATACATATTACACACTGTATTTTTAAAATGAAGCTAGAGAAAGAAAATGTTATAAAGAAAATCAAGTTTCACATATACCACGAAGTTATAGTAATCAAAACAATTTGGTTATTGCAATAAGAATAGACATACGGACTAATGGAATAGAACTGATGGTTCAGAAATAAATCCACCTTTATATTTCCAATTAATCTATGACAAAGGAGCCATGAGTGTACCATGGAAAGGGAAGTCTATTCAGCAAATGACACTGGGAAAATTGGACAGTCATATGCCAAAAAAATCAAAGTAGACCGCTCTTACATCATATACAAAAATTAGCTCAGAATCTATTAAAGACTTGGATGTAAGACTGGAAATCACAGAAGAAAAGATGTTTTGGGGTACTTGATTCAAATGCAAGAGAAACAAAGCAAGAATAAACAAATGGGACTACATAAAAAATTTAAAAACTTCTGCATGACAAAAAAACTATCATTAAAATAAAGAGATACTACACCGAATGGAAATAAATATATGCATGTCATACATTCAACAGGGCTTAATATCTACCAATAACTCATAAAACTCAATTAAAGGAGAAAAATCACCCAATCAAAAAAGGGGTAGAAGAGCTAATGACATTTTTCCAAAGAAGATATACAGATGGCGAACAGACATATGAAAACTGCTCACCATCACTTACATCAGTGAGACACAAATCAAAACCAAAATTCATTTCCACCTAGAAGACCAGTATAAGTGCTGGTGAAGATGTGGAGGAAAAAAGTCTACACTATATAGACTAGTCTAGCCCTTATGGAAAATAGTATAAAATTTCCTCAAAATACTAAAAATGGATCTACCATGCAATCCAGCAATTTCACTCCCCAGAATCTAGCCAAAAAATGGAAAAACATTAATTTGAAGGGTTTTATGCACTCCTATTCACTATAGCACTGTTTACAACAGTCAATTTATGGAAACAATGTAAGTGCCCAAGAAAAGATGAATGGATTAAGATATTGTATATAACACTATGGAACCCTATTCAGCCATAAAAAAGTAAGATGAAACCTTGCCATTTGTGACAACATGGATAGAAATGGAAAGGCTTATGCTGAGTGAAATAAGGAGATAAATACTGGATTATTTTGCTCATATGTGGAATATAAATAAACACAAAAAGAACAATCAAAAGCAAACCAATACAAACTCCAGAAATCTGACTATATAACTGCAGTTACTAGAGGGGGAGTGTGGAGGTGAAGAAGAAAGAGGGGAAGGGGCCATCTGAATTATGGTGAAGAATTACAGGTGTTGAGTTATAAACCTAGTCCCCTAAATCATATATATTACTGTGAATTGTTATCTCAAAAAATGATACAACTAAAAAACAAGTTAGACATTAAAAAAAAGCAAGTCATGAAGGAGAAAAAGTTCATTTACAGTAATACAATGTATTTATCAATACCATAAATTTATGTCATCTGTTTATAAGAATATTTAAGTATAAATGGAACCATGCAATTCAAAACCATGTTGTCAAGGGTCCACTTTATTGCCTTATGTTGTGCTAGATAGTGCTCAGAGTACTTTACACCTGGGAAGGAATGAGTTCCCCCAAAATATACACACATTGTTATACCGAAGTGAGGACAGAGAAAGAAAAAAATCCCACCTTATTAATTGAGAAAAAGTATGAATAAAGATTTAACTTTTGGCACTAAAGTTCAGGTAAACAGGGCCCTCTCTGGTGGCACAATGGATTAGGACACAGCACTGCAAGCTAGCTGCAGCTGCTTCAGTGTGATTTCGATTCCCAGCCCCGGTTGTGATCCACATGGTGCGGCAGACCTCTCCCGACACTGCTTCCCTCAGCACAGTACTCTTGTCAATCAGCCTGTTCTGCTCCCCACTGTCTCTGGTGAAGCCACTCACTGCCCCTGTACTTCTGGCCTATATCCCAGCTTTGTATGCATAAACAAATAAATCTTAAAAAAAAAAATAAAGTTCAGTAAACAACAAATACCAAGTAAGAAGACCTGGGCAAAGGATACAACAAACACTGTATTCTCATGAAGCCTTCTGAATCCAAACAGAAAGACAAAAATTTCAAATGACAAATGAGAGATTTTTTTTCAATTTCCTGCAGAAATCAACAGCTTTAATAACCAGCTTGCTATGACAGGACATCTTTAGAAGCAACATTTTTGGAACATGTATCTATTTTTCCTAAGATCCAGACCAAAATATAAGTGTTGACTGCCAACTCTTTGTTCTGTCCTCCCTGTTTCTATGTTTTCCTATCCCTATGTTCCCCTCTATGAGTGCCTTCCCTATAAAGAGCTTACATATCTCAGTAGCATATTATATCTCAGTAGCAAATTATAATTATTCAGACAGTATAAAAATTATAGGTGACTAAGCCTTACCCCTAGATACACTGATTTAATTGCGCTGGGGGTGATATCAGCACTGGTAGTGTTTAAAACTGTCCCAGATAATTAAAGTGTGCAGCTTGTTGACACAACTGAAGGTATATGGTTAGGTATCCCCAAATGTCCCTGAAAACTCCCCATGAGCTGCGCAGTTCACCATAACCAGGATGGAAAGTGATTTTTCTTCCTCTTTGCCTTTCCCACACACACAAAAAGAAAAGAAGTAAAGAAAGTAAAATACAATGTGCAGCCAAGACTTGAGAATAATTAATCAATCACAGGACTCCTAAATCCTACTATCAACTATGCTCTTCAGATAATGCCAGATAATGCTATAGCTTTTTCAAGAAGGCTTATCAATTTATACACTTACCAATAGTGTTTGAGAGTTCAGATATTTCTAGAAACTTAGCAACACCTGGGGATGTTCAATTGTTTTTTGTTGATAGGTATAAAATATTATTATAGTTTGATTTGTATGTTCTTAAATACTAATCTTTTCAAATGGTACTGTCCATACATGTTTCCATTAGGTTCCATTAGGTTCCTGTCCATATCTTTTTCCCACTTGCGTATTAGATTATCTTTTTCTCACTGATTTGTAGGAACTCTCTGAATATCCTATATAGTTATCATTGGTCCTGGGTCTGAACAAAGGTTACCGCTAGATATAACTTACATCTAGATCTAGATCTGAGTCCTTACCCAAGTTACTTAGCTTCCACCATACTGTTTCTTTTCACAAAATGAAATTGTAAGGTTTACCAATTGTGAGGTTTAAGACAATGTACTTGAAATAGCCTGGCCAGGCCATGCATTTGATAATGCATGAAGAGGAGAAATTTAAATATTAATAAGGATATTAAAGATAAAATATTACTCAGGCATACAGAGTCACATACATACACATGCATGTGTACAACTGTAAATATATAAATGAGTACATTTACTTTTTTTTAAAAGTTTATTCATTTATGCATATACAACTGGGGTATAGACCAGAGGTGCAGGGGCAGTGAAAGGAATTACCAGAGACAGAGTGGGAGCAGAACAGGCTGACTGATGAAGTACAATGCTGAGGGGAGCAGCGGACAGGTCAGGAGAGGTATACTGTGCCATGTGGGTCACCTTGAGGGCAGGGATTGAACTCATGCTGAAGTGGCTTTAGCTTCTCAGTGCTGTGCTTTAACCTGCTGCGCCACCAGGGAGGGCCCTGTACATTTACTATTAACTATATATGTACATATTAATAAATTGTTTAGAAAGGATATGGAAAGGACAAATAACTGTGTGACACTAGACTATATATATTTACTGTCTTTTGGTGTTATCCATGATGTGAGAAAATAATATACTTTTAAAAAAGTAAAAGTTCTTAAGATAGCAAAATAAAAAACAATTTCAAATATAATTTTCCCAAATATCCACCACAAAAGACAAGTTTTCATAGTAAACTGCTTTCAATGATCCTTTTCTTGGGTGAGAAATCACTTACCAAGCAAAAAGAGGAAAATACAAAGTACTCAATAATGATTTATGGGTTTTGGATATGAGTAACATGAATAAGAACATAACATACAAACCTAAATGAATCACTGAAATACATTCCACTCCCAAGATTTCCAATGTCTGTTCTTTTTATCCCACGATCTTCAACTGTTTTGGGTAGAAGTAACCCACTAAAAAGAAAAGGCCATTATAATCATTTGCTAGGAAAAAAGAACTCATTTACAACCTCATAATTTCAACAGAGACAGGTGTCATTTAAGCACATTAAGTTACGTGGAAAAAACTAGATACTGAGAGACAAACACTATATGACCTCACTTACATGTAGAATCTTAAAAAGTCATATTCAGACAATCAAGAGTAGAAAGATGGTTTTCTAGGAGTTGGGAAGATGTTGGTCAAAGGGTACAAATTTTCAGTTATAAGATAAATAAGCATTGGAGAGCTAATGAGCAACATGTTAATTATAGTCAACTATACTATATCTTATACGCGAAATATGCTAAGAGACTAGGTTTTGTTTTCTCATCACAAAAGCAAAAGAGTATAACTCTATGCAGTGCTGCATGTGTTCATTGTTTGTTAATGTATCACATCTTTTAAAAAAATCAGTTTTACAACCTAGATATATGCAATTTTTGTCCATTATAGCCCAATGAAGCTGAAAAAATGAATATATTGGATCCTCCCTCCCTGATGGCACAACGAGTTAAGGTACAGCATTATGAAGCTATCTACAGCCACTGTGGCATGAGTTCTATCCCTGGCCAGGGAGGTGACCCACAGGGTGCAGCAGATCTTTCCTGAATCACCACTGCTCCCCTCAGCAGTGTATTCCAGTACATCTGCCTATTCTGCTCCCTACCCTGTCTCTGGTGAATTCTCTTATGCTCCTGCACCTCTGGCCTGTATCTCAGTTCTTGTATGCATAAATAAATAAATCTTTTAAAAAAAATTATATTAATTAAAAATAATACATAAATAGCATCAACAGGGAGTTCCAGGTGACATTAAAACATACTAAGTGTATTTAGTTTCTCTTCACTGTCTTGTCCAACCCCAGGTAGTCAGCCAATTTTCCTGCCTCAAGGCTTCTGCTTCCTTTAGGCAGACCCACCTGTGCCCAAAGGAACAATCTTTAAGTGCAATACTGGTTCCAACTGCCTCCTGCTCAAAAACTTACGCAGGTTCCACTGGACTTCCAGCATTAAGAGAATCTCATCTAGCAGAGTTAAACATGATTATCACTCTGGGAAGGCAGTAAAAGGAGACTTCTGTATTTTGTTATATAAACAAATATTGTTTGAATTGTGCATTGTGAGATGGATTAATTTTGTCTATTGGCTTTGGGTTTTAGTTCTACTTAGAAATGCCATCCCTACTCAAACATTATTTTTAAATTCTCCCATTTTCATTTAAATTTTAATATTTACAAATCTGTTGCATGTAGAGTTTATTAAAGTGTGAAGAATGAGGTAAGGGTCCCATTTTATATTTTCCTAGATAAATGTCCCAATATATAATATTGAAGAAATTATATTTTTTCTACAGAAACAAAAGTTACTTTTATCTATGGTAAATATTCAAATATTGTGTTTATTTGTGGAGTCTTTATTCTGTTGGCCCACCTATTTATATACCACCTCACTGTTTGCTTGGTAATATATATTTTTTCATACTTGACGATTGAGCCCTCCATCATTATCCTTCTTTTCAGAATTACTCTGTCAAGCTTTTTAAAATTATGCTGTAGGATCAGCATTTTGTTTCTTAAAAAAAAAAAAACAAAAACAAACTTTTCTTGTACTTTGATCATGGTAACATTGACTTTGTAGGTTAATTCCAAGTAAACTGGCATCCTTGTGATTTGTACAATTGTCTTTGGATTCCTCAGTAGCAGTTTAAAGCCTTTTCCAGATGGATCTTTTAAGTTTCTTCTTAGATATTTAATCAAGATCCAGTTTAAGCAAATTTTCCCTTCTCATTATAACCTTAGTTTCAGCCCTAATATTGTGTGGCCCTTCAAAGCAAACAAAATGACAGTATGATTTTAATAGAGAAGTGCCATATCTGGGCACTATAATTTCTAGATCTTCCCTAAGTGTTGGACTATCTTTATATTAAAGACACATGAAAAAGCCATGAAATAGATAACTTTTTGTATGATATTGTGTTTTAGAAGCAATTATTATTCACAGATTACACTTAAAGTACAAATAAACAGTATATATATAAAATTTATATACTTAATTATAATTTAAAGAGTTCAATTGTCTCTGGAATAGAGCAAACTAGCTAATTCTAACAGAAGAGACGTATGTAGTATAGTAAAAAAAGGAAGAAAGAAAGTGAAACATTTCACATTTGTGAGAATGAAAATTTGGAAAAATAAGTCTTACCGGGATAGGATTCCTACAAAGCTTCGTACAGGAGATCCATGCAATAAGGACTTTACATTGCCAAGCTGGCTCAAAAACTCTATGGTTTCATTTACTCGTCCAACTCTAAATACCTGCAGGATATCCACTGGACTTTTACTGTAATCATTAGAAGAAAAACCTTGAGAATTCATACTTAAAAGCAAAATTAAAAAAAAAAAAGATTAGCAGCAGAAAACATGAAACAGCCCAAATGTCTATTATTAGGAAACTGATTCAGTGAGTCACATAAAACAACATATCTTAAAATAATACATAAAAATAAAAATATCACTCTTTAAAAAATAAATAAGGATATGAAGTAAAACTTAAAATGTAAAATTTAAAAGTAGATTACAAAATTTAATATACAGTATGATTCCACTTCTTGTTAGATACAGAATATAACTTTGAATGAGCTCATTCTCTATCCCAAATATTCTGTGAGTCACTGGAAATAAGATAACATGGAGCTTCATGGAGTGAGAAAGATAAAAATCAGTAAGTTGATACCTGATTTTAAGTATATTAAGTATATTAAGGAAACCAGGTTCAGAGAAAGAATAGGCAAGAAAGGCCTTTCTTTGGAAGTGACAGTCATTGAACATGTTAAGATCTAACTGGAAAATTAACTGGGTGGAGCACGAGTGAGAGCAGGAATACTGCTCGGTTGGGCAGGGAAACAACAATATCTGAACTAAAGACTGCAGTAACAGGGTAAGCAAGAAGTTGGAGGACTAATGATATTTCTGGGGCAGAACTTAGAGAATGTGGTGATGTAGGGATGAGGTAAAGAATTGACAGTGGCCCTGGTGGGTAACTAAGATAGGGAATCATGGAAAAGCACGGGGGATTACTAACAAGCATAGAGTTACAGGGTTCAGAGGAATTATGAGGACCAACTAGGCACGTCTTCGCAATTCCACATTCAGTGGAATCCTTTTGGTAGCTTGAAATGAACTAAGGTGGGAGTGTTTAAACCATAGAAATCAGCAAATATTACAGTTCAGAGTTTGCTGACCAGTGTATCATTGGCTGTGAAGAATCAACAGTTCAATTTGGAATATGTTATACACCAAAATGTTAACAGTAGTTAAATTATTTCTGGGCTATCTTTGGTGGTGATCTTTAATTTGAAGTGATATTTAATTTTCTTCATGTTTTTACATATTCCCTGCACTTTCAGCAAAGAACATGAAAATTAGAAGAAAAAAAAACATGAAAAATAATTACTAGTGAAATAAAGTGGAGAAAAACTAATTTTTCACCACAGCAGAGTTACCTTGGGAGAGGCCTTCCTTTTGTTGTAGGAATACTTTAATACATAAAGTGGTGGTGGGGGGTTTTCAGGCCCAGGTTTCCAAGGGCCTGATATTAGCTGCTAGAATAGCAGGATTGAAGATCTAGCTGTTCCTTTTAACTCTCTCTCTGGAGAAAGCAAGTTACTTCCCTCCTTAACTATTACTAGTTTTTTCATAAATATTAGAATCTAGCAGATACTTAGGGAAGGGTAAAAATATATATAAATAAAAATATATGTATTTATATCATATATAAAATCAAAATCTTCCAAAGACCTCAAAAGACTTATTGAGGTAAAATTTACATTATCACAAAATTAACTATGTTGAAGTATAAAGAGTGGTATGTATCCAAAATGCTATGCCATCCCTTTCTAGTCCCAAAGCATTTCATCATCCCAAAAGAAAAACCCATATCCACTTAGCATTCAGACTCTACTCCTCCCTCCATGGATCTATCTATTCGAGATACTTCGTTCAAATGAAAGCATAAAATAGGTGGTACTGGGCCCTCCCTTGGTGGCACAGCACTAAGAAGCTAAAGACACTTCCACATGAGTTCGATCCCTGCCTGCCCTGGAGGTGACCACATAGCGCAGCACACCTCTCCTGACCCACCCGCTGCTCCCCTCAGCAGTGTACTTCATCAGTCAGCCTGTTCTGCTCCCCGCTCTGTCTCTGTGAATTCTCTCACTGCACCTGTACCTCTACCTCTGGCCTGTACACCAGTTCTGTATGAATAAATAAATAAAGTCTTTGGAAAAAAAAAATAGGTGGTCTTTTGTGTCTGGTTTCTTTCACTCAGCAAAATGTTTTCCAGGTGCCCTGTGTAGTATCAGTATCTCCTTCCATCTAATGGCTGAGTAATATACCATTAACTGCACATACCATATTTTGTTAATTTATTCATTGATGGACATTTCAGTTGTTTGCACTTTTTGGCTATTGTGAATAATGCTGCTGTGAACATTCATGCTCAAGAATTATTTGATATTTGTTTTTGGTTCCTCTGGGTATACAGTCAGAAGAGGAACTGCTGGGGTATATGATAACTCTGTGTTTAATTCACTGCAGAACTGCCAAGCAGCAGCTGTGCCATTTTATGTTTTCTACAAACACTGAGTGGATTCTAATTTCTCTTTTTTAAAAAATAGTCATATTAGGGCCCACCCTGGTGGCACAGCGGATTTAAGTATAGCTCTAAGAAGCTAAAGCCACTTAAGCATGCGTTTGATCCTCGCCCTGGAAGTGAACTCATGGCGCAGGCAGACCTCTCTTCACCAGCCCACTGCTCAGCAGTGTACTTCGTCAATCTGCCTGTTCTGTTCCCTACCCTGTCTCTGGTGAATCCTCTCACCGCCCCTGCACCTCTGGCCTGTACCCCAGTTCTGTATGCATAAGTTAATAAATCTTTAAAAAAATAGTCATATTAAAAAAATAGTCCTATTAGTGGATGTAAGGCAATACTGAGATTATGGAATGCATATCAGCATGATAAACAGGGTTACACTGTCACTATGAAAACAAATGTCACTGAGAGAAGAGTCATCTCTCTTAACATGTTTTCCACTCTGTTTTTATACCATGGAACGCTCATTCTATAAGCTGCCAAACACATATTCATGTGTTCTAAAATCTTAATAGGGTCTTCAATTACCTTCAAATTGTCTTCAAAACACAAAATCAAATGTTATTTTGTTTAAAAAAAATTACTATCAGCAAGATAAGGTAATCTTGAAATCAGAGTGTAACTAGTAGATAGTGTTTTTCAGTACAGAATATAATCCTAAACCCCATTATAAATACAGAAGAAAGTTGTCATAATATGTACTTAAATTGTTATATAGGATTAATTTATCTAGGCAACTGTGGAGAGTAGCTCTTTAAAAGAATCTGCAACACCATTTTATAATGATGGATCCTAACATTTTTTTTATGCTCACCTGTGATTATTCTGCAATACTTCTTTTCTAACCCTGAAAAATTCTTCAGTGTTCTGTTCAACATGCTCAATTTTGCATCTCAAAGCATGGTACTTGGCAAGAGATGGTGGGCTGGGTTTGGACAAATGCGTTTCACACACATTAACCATGTCTCTTATTAGCTGTAGATGGAAATGACACACAGATGTAAGAATTACCACATACCAAAGTACTCACATCACATTACACTTCTTCAGAAACCTTGAAAAAATAAGCTTTTCTCCCCAAAGACTGAGTAATACCTATCAATATTGTAAGTGGTGAATTAACGTTTATATAGTTACCTTAGTGATAGACAACATATGGTAACAATAACAGTGTACAGCAAATCATTGCTAATAAAGTGGTTTCAGTTTCATTTTCCTTTAATCTGCACTGTAACATAGGTCTTATTAGAGTTTTATTAGATTCTTATTGTCTGGATGAGGAAAGCAAGACGTTTAAGAAATTAAGTTGTGGCCCTCCCAGGTGGCTCAGCGGGTTAAAGTGCAGCACTGAGAACCTAAAGCCACTTCCGCATGAGTTCAATTCCTGCCTGCCCGGAGGTGACCATATGGTGTGACAGACCTCTCCTGACCCGCCCGCTGCTCCCCTCAGCAGTGTACTTCGTAGATCTGTTCTGCTCCCCACTCTGTCTCTGGTGAAGCCTCTTGCTGCCCCTGAGCCTCTGGCCTGTACCCCAGCTCTGTATGCACAAATAAATAAATCTTTAAAAAAAAAAAAAGAAATTAAGTTGTTCAAGATCCCAGTAAAAAGAGAAGACATCTAACTACAAAAGTTAAAAACGGATTGAGGACCTTTCCTGGTGGTACAATGGGGTATAAGCAGAGGTCTGTGAAGCTGTCTGCAGTTACTGCAGCATGAGTTCGATCCCCCTCTTGGGAAGTGACCCACATGGCGCGGCAGACCTCTCCTGACCTGCTTGCTGCTCCCCTCAACAGTGTACTTCATCGATCTGCCTGTTCTGCTTCCCATTCTGTCTCTGGTGAGTCCTCTCACCCCCAACATCTCTGGCCTGTACCCCAGTTCTGTATGCATAAATAAAGAAATCTTTAAAAAAAAAAAAACAACAGATTGAAGGTAAAAGGATGGAAGACAATCTTACAAGCAAATGGACCAAAATAAAAGGCAGAAACAACTATACTTACATCAGACAAAATAGAAATCAAACTAAAAAAGGTTAAAAGTAACACAAATGGCCACTACATTATGATTCAAGGGACAATACAACAAGAACACATAAAACTCATCAACATATATGCACCAAATGAAGGAGCATCAAAATAATCCGGAAACTGCTGTCATCCATGAAAATGTATATCAGAGAGAATACATACATACATACATAGTAGGAGACTTCAATAAGCCACTCTCAACAATGGACAGATCAACCAAACAAAAAATAAGCAAGGACACTAAGGTTCTGAACAAGGACCTAGACATCATGGGTCTAATAAACATCTATAGAACACTGCACCCAAAAAAATACGAGTATACATTTTTCTCAAATACACACAGATCATTCTCTAGGACTGACCACATACTGAATCACAAGACAAGTGCCAATAGATACCCTAAGATCAAAATTATACCAACTATCTTCTCTGACCATGAAGGGATCAAAGTTGAAATAAATCATGTAAAGAAGGCAAGAAACCTACCTACCTTGTGGTGACTGAAACCCACACTATTGGAGGACCACTGGATCAATGAGGAGATCAAGGAAAAAATTTAAAAATACCTTGAGAAGAATGACAATGAGGACACAACTCTCCAAAACTTATGGATTATATTTAAATTATAATTTAAATATTATATTATTATAATTATATTAAAAGCAGTTCTAAGAGGAAAATATGCAGCAATACAGGCTCACATAAAGAAACAAAAATAAAGAAACAACCTAATCTCCCAACTTAAAGAACTGGAAAAAGAACAACAAATAACCCAAAAGCCAGTAGAAGACAGGAAAGAATAGAAGTCAAAGCATAAATAAATGAAATGGATTAGGAAAATGTCCAAAAAAATCAATGAAACCAAAAGTTGATTCTTTGAAAAAATAAACAACTTAGGCAGACCTCTAGCCAGGGTCACAAAGAAAAAACAAGAGAAAGCACAAATACTTGGATCATAAATGAAGGAGGAGAAATCATAACAGATACAGCAGAAATTAATAAAAGAATAATATGAATAACTATATGCAAATAAATACAACAATTTAGCAGAAAAGGACAAATTCCTAGTACTCTACAATCATCCAAAGCTAGACAAAAAAGAAACAGAACAACTAAACAGGTCAATTACAAGCAAAGAAACTGAAGGAACAATTAAAACCCTCCTCAAAAATAAAAGCCCAGGACCAGATGGATTTACAAATGAATTTTACTGAACAATCAGAAAAGAATTAAAGCCTATTCTACACAAAATGGTGCAAAAAATCAAAAAAGGAAAAAATTACCAAATACTTTGTATGAAACCAGCAATATACTAATACCAAAACCTAACAAAGACAATATGCAAAAAGAAAACTTCAGACCAATCTCCCTAAATCTTCCTAATGAACACTGATGCAAAAATCCTCAACAAAATCTTAGCCAAAAGAATCCAACAATGCATTAAAAGAGTAATACACCATGACCAAGTGGGCTTTATCCCAGGAGCACAAGGATGGATCAACATCAGAAAATCAATTAACATAACCCTTTACATAGACTAACAGAAAAATAAAAACCATATAATCATATCAATAGATGTGGAGAAGGCATTTGACAAAGTTCAACATCCATTTATGTTTAAGGCCCTCGAAATCCTCAAAATAGAAGAAACATAACTCAACACGGTAAAAGCCATACATGACAAACCCACAGCTGATATTATCCTCAATGGAGCAAAGCTGAAAGCCTTTCCTTTAAGATCAGGAAGAAAACAATGTTGTGCTCTTCAACACAACATTGGAAGTTCTAGCCAGAGCAATAAGACAGGAAAAAGATATACAAGGAATCCAAATAGGGAAAGGAGAAGTAAAACTATATTTGCAGAAGATATGATATTTATATGGAAAACCCTAAAAACTCCATAGAGAAACTAATCAAAGCCATCAACCAGTTTGTAAGGTAGCAGGATATAAAATCAAAATACAAAATTCAGAAGCCGTCCTATACACAACTAATCAGAAGAAATTTAAAAAAAAAGAAAAAAAATCCCTTTTCAATTGAAACAAAAAGAAGCAAATACCTGGGAATACACCTAACAAAAGAGGTAAAAGGCCTATACAAAGAAAATTATAAAACAGTGTTAAAAGAAATACAAGAAGACACAAAGAAATAGAAAGATATTTCCATGGATCGGGAGAATGAACATCATTAAAATGACTACCTTGGGCCATCCCTGAAGATGCCAATGTGTTAAAGTGCAGCACTGCAGTGCCAGTTCTATCCCAAGTCCCGGAGATGACCCACAGGTGACCTACATGGTGCAGCAGACTTCTCCTGTCTTGTCCACTACTCCTCTCAGCAGTGTACTTCATCAGTCTGCCTGTTCAGCTCCTCACTTTGTCTCTGGTGCATCCTCTCACCACCCTTGCACCTCTGGCGTGCATCGCAGTTCTAGATAAATAAATAAATCTTAAAAAAATAATGGCCATTGTGGCCCTCCCTGGTGGCGCAGTGGGTTAAAGCACAGCACTAAGAAGCTAAAGCCACTTCAGTATGTGTTGATCCCCGGCCCCAAAGGTGATCCACATGGCGTGGCAGACCTCTCCTGACCCGTGCACTGCTCCTCAGCAGTGTACTTCGTCAGTAGGCCTGTTCTGCTCCCCACTCTGTCTCTGGT